AAATGGATGGATGGATAGATAAGGTTTTCAAGATAAGGCCAGTTCCATGCCTGCTAAACTTTCTTGTGAAAGGCAAAACTTGAGAATAAAGAACTGAAGAATTGTATAGTATTGTAAAATGCTCGTCAGTGCAAGTTACATTTAATATCCAGGTACTTTTATGTTTTTTTTTATTTCACTATGATTGTTTCTTTGTGTGGCAGCAAATAAAAGACTTTTAAAGGTAAAACAAAATCTGTCTGTCTATTAATTCTCTGCACAGACCTTTTATCAGCTGTTAATGAAGTCCTCGTGCTCCTCGCAGATTTTAATAATCAGGCTTTAAACGAGCGCATCAAACTTATTTTCACCACTTCCATAAAGTTGGAGTCTCCCGGAGATCTTCCTCCTGCTCCCTAAATGAACCCTCCACGCGCATCTAATGAACTTAATGGGACTCACCGCCGAACCACTCGGAGGAGATGTTCTGCAGCAGCGTGAAGGGGACGCAGAAGAAAGTGATGAGCAGGTCGCTGACAGCCAGGGAGCAGATGAAAATATCCGTGGCCGTCTGGATGGCTCTCTTCTTCACAACTATGTAGATGACCAGGCTGTTCCCGGCCAGAGCCAGGACGAAGATCACCGCGTACATGACGACGAAGGTGGTCTTGGCGCACGGCGGTAACTCCGGGACGTAGACGAGCGGCTGGATGTTGTAGGTGCTGATGAACTCCTGGCGGCTCAGGTTGTACAGCTGCAGCATCTCCTGCAGCACTTCGGGGGTGATTCTGGAGGAGCTCTGCTGTCCCGAGTCTGTGGAAGCTGCTGCCATCCTGACAAGTCCTCAACTGGAGGGAGCAGGTCTTAAATCCAGCAGCGCCAGATGTTGCAGCTGTTTCTCTCTCTCCCTCCTGAGTGGTGCGCGCTGAAGAGGTGGAGAAGAGCAGACAGGAAAACATCTTATTATGTAGGTCTGAAAGTCCTTTCTGTGTGCAGAATATATAATCAGCCAGTCTGTAAATGTCAAAACCAAAAAAAAAAACCAGATAATTCCAAAAGGCAAAAATGGTGATAATGGTTGCCTGTTAGCAAAATAAATCTCGACCCAGTGGGATTAAAATTGTAAGAAAGTATACATCTCCATCTGACTGCCTTTTGAAGTCAATCTTGAGTGACCTTACAAAACACTAAGATAGAACTTTATTGATCCCGCAGGAAATTGCAAGATATTTACAGATGTTTACAGATGTGTACATATTTTGTGCTAAAACTTGGTGTGGTACACTGAGAGTCATCTCCCATTTGTATTCTGAGCGACTGAAATCTGGTTTTAAAACTTTGCAGCTACAAGTATCGGAATCAAATGCATGTTTAGAAATACATCTCATGAACCATGGTGCAGATTTTAATGCAACGTTCAGAAAAATATCAAAACTCTAGACGTCAACCTGCTGCTGGCCTTAAGAAAACACAAACATGGCTGCAACTTATAGTTTTAGAAATATTTAGTGGAAATCTGTCGTGGTAGTAGCTGAGAGTCATCCGTTGAGCTACATCTTGAAAGACCTCACATGAGATCGTGCATCGATGTGGACAAAGTAAATGTGAGGCCTCTTGATTCTTCATCTTTGAAACGGCCTCTGTCAAATAAACTTGTTAAATAGATTTAGTGAATAAGTATCAGGAAGGAACTGCTCTCCTTACAACGCGAGAAAGAGGAAGAAAGTAGAAAGAAAGTGACATGATGCATAAAATAAAACTGCACCACTGCTTTTTTAAAAAAAAAAACTTCCACTGTTATAAATAAATAAAGCCAACATGGAAGTACAAACATTAAATTACTGATTGTCTAGTTGTGACCTTCAGAATGAAAGTTAATCCTCAAATCCCGATAAAATTACCTCATTAAAAAGCTGTACCTCCATGTGAATAAAGCTTGATTATATTTATTCTGGATTATGCATCCGTCCTCTCTTAGCGGGTGATCTGCAGACAAGGACGTTTCCTTCACGTTTATTCCAGTCAAAGTTACTTAAAGAGCTTCATGACAAACTTGACACCTCTAGTACAATTTATGGGATGTGGTAAAATGAGAAACTGGAACTGCATTTCCTGTGAAAATGCAGAGTGAATGCTCACTGAGTGATTTTTGCTGAAAACTGCTGAAGAAGGCTGAAAATGTTTCAGCTGCCATCTGATAAAAACAGACAAATAAAAGCAAAAAACATATAAAAAAAGTCTTAACTGGAGTTAGTGGGAGAGATCATATCTCTCCAGTTTTAGCTTCTCTCCATTGGCTCCATCAAACCCAGAATTGAATTAAAAATCTTACTTCTAACCTACAAAGTTCTCAACAACCTAGCTCCATCTTATATTCAAGATCTTATTGTTCCATATTTTCCTAACAGAGCACTTGGCTCTCAGACTGCAGGCTTACTCGCGGTTCCTAGAGTTTCCAGAGGCAGAATGGTAGGAAGATCTTTCAGTTATCAGGCTCCTCTCTTGTGGAACTAACTTCCAGTTTCTGTCCATCCGGCCGACACGTTGTCCAGTTTTAAGACTGATCGATTGATTAAAGACTCTTGCGTAACTCAGCCCACAAGTTCTGGAGTTAAAGTAAAGTTCAGGCTCTGCAGGAGCGACAACAAACGGTGCAAACAAACTTTTTTCAAGTTGCCGTTAAACGGAAAGTTTTAAGTCATGCTGTGACACCAGCTCTGTCCAGCTGCACAGCTCGTCTGTTCAAACAGTTGCTGCAGCCTCCTCCTCCTCCTCCTCCTCCTCCTCCTCCTTATCGCTCCAGTCAAATATGAAAAATGGCAAAAAATAAAAATTCTCCAATTTGCATCTCTTGTAACTCCACATGAGGCTGTTTAAACAATGTAAACATTAATTTAAGGCTGTTTCTGCAACGTGTCATTTATCCCCCTTTAGCAAATTAAAAATAAAAGAATGAAAGGGGGGAAACAATGAACTAATTAGTTGGTTTTGATTACATTTCAATATAAATAACAACAATATTAACAATATAAACACAACAACCAGAATGAGAACAGGCTGAGCAGGAAGCTGGTTTCCATCCATCACACTTCAAATATAACAATCCTACAAAAATCCTCAAAACAAAACCAAAAACAGACTCTGTGAATAATTTCATTCATCTTAAAGACTTTATTATCATCACATATACATCACTTTACATTTTAAATCATGTTGAACTTAAAATCTTTTGCGAACACATGCACTGTTGATTTTAACTTTCTACTGTTTCATAATTTAATTCCAAGAAAACATCTATAGCTCACATATATTCCAACTGAACAATCTTTATATACAAATAACTCTAATAAATTATGTTTTTTTTTAACCTCTTAATTCAACAAATACTGAAAAAGCCTAAGTAGTCTGTTGTTTGCAACATGAGAAATATGTTCTAGAGTTTTTGAAAACACTGCGATAAAAAAAATCTATAGCAAATAGATTTTTTTGAATGTTCAAAGCTTTAAAAAAAAAAAAATAGTTATATGCATTTTCAAAAGCAATGCAACATATGCAAACTTTTACATTCAATAAGTCTTTAAAATTACAAACTACTGTCAGATCTGCATAAATAACATATTTCTGTTATATGTGGTTTCCAACAGAGGATAAATCTATAAACACCTCAAATTTATTGTTTAATAAACCATTTTATTGTCAACGCTATTTAACGAGTCATATCAAAACCGTTCTATATTTTTCTGTAAGTTAAAAAAAAAAGTTTTAGTCAATTAGTTTTAGAAAATACCAGCAAAATTGTAATAATAATATTTTTTTATGTTTTATTTTTATAGAAAGTTTGTGCACATTTCATCTGTTTTATGATTGTACTTGTTCAGTAATCTATATATGAAAAAACACAATAAAACCTTGGCATAAGTCTATGTTTTTGTTTTTGTGCACACTTTTCTGAATAAACTCGGTAAATTAAAGCAGAAAGTGTGTCGTCGGAACAAAACGTAAGGTCAAAACGACTGTTTTGAACAGAACAAGTTGACCAAGTGCAGAAGCAACAAAAATTGCATTTTCTAAATATTTTTCACTCTCCTAAAACAAAAATAAATAAATAAATACAAATTAAAAATCTGTCTTTATGAAAACATTTCTAACATACTTTTTAAATCTGTTGTCTTTGTAAATATATATTTTTATAATACGACCGCAAAATCCCAACAAAAACTTGTCAAGCTTTTACATATTTAACCTTATGTCCAACAAACTGTGTGCATCATTATAAATATTTTTAAACACGTCATCACTTTGGTTTATTGAATTTTGCAAACAAAAAGCATGAGGTTAAATAAAAAAAGCTTTGCTGATTCTGAGAACTATTGCTTCCTCGAAAAAGCCCCCCCACCACCTAATAGCTCTAGAGCGGGAGTTAAATTCTTGCAGATCCAGAACATTATGAGCCTCATAAACATTAATCTAGTTTTTTCTTCTTCTTCTTTTTTTTTAAAGAATTTAATTTATTAGATTTAAAAAAATTTTTTTTTTTTTTTTGGGAGGGACTATTTTTTTTGTTTTCTTGTGCTTTGAAAGTTCCATCCATCCATTTTCTTTACCCGCTTATTCCATTTTGGGTCACGGGGGTCGCTGGTGCCCATGTCCAGCAATCACTGTGCGAGGGGCGGGGTACACCCTGGACGGGTCGCAAGTCCATCACAGGGCCACACAGAGACAAACGAGACAAACAACCATTCACTCTCTCACTCACACCTAGGGACAATTTAAAGTTACCAATCAGCCTAACATGCATGTTTTTGGTCTGTGGGAAGAAACCGGATGACCCGGAGAAAACCCACGCATGCACGGAGAGAACATGCAAACTCCACCCAGAAAGGCCCCTGGACCGGGGTTTGAACCAGGGACCTGCTCGCTGAGAGGCAGCAGCTCTACCAGTTGCGCCACCGTGCTGCCCCGCTTTGAAAATTCCTTTTCATTTATTTTCAGAGACAAAAGCCTGAAATGAGTAAATGTTCTTTAAGAAAGGGGGAGAACTTCAAACACCCATTTGGACCATGGACGGCCCAAATGGTTAATCAAAGTTCTGACAAACAGCTGACAGTTTCTAAAGCACATTCATAAGGTGATAACGTTGATCAACTTGTATGTCGATGATACCACTTACTTTCAAAAATGTCACATTTCTCGCCATTGATTATTAACTCAAACAGAAATATTTTCTTTGAAAACACTTGTTTTATTTAGGCAAGTGTTATGAATTATTATGCAAAATTCTACTTTTTGCTAGGTCAGTAAAGGTTTGTTTTAGGATAAAGGAATTATAGCTAAATTTTTGTATTGTAATTAATTTTGCTAATTTTGAGGAGATTATTTTCAACTTTTTTGCTGTTAAACCTAAAAATTATATTTAACAAGCACAAACTCCACCACCGCGATAAGGTGGCCATTCAAGGAGATATTTAAAAAGTATAAGCATTAAATCTGAAGAAGGTCTACATCTGCATCAACCTCTTAAGCCTGTGGGGCAAAATTAAACCATTCTTTAGTTGCAGTCATGGGCCGCACAAAATCACTCCAAGGGCCACAAATGGCCCTCGGGCCACTCTTTGGACACTCCTGCTCTAGAGGCAGAGAATAAAAATTAAAGGTTTTTCTTCAATTTTTATACAAATTAGGCACAAATCCATTACTTTGGTGTGTGACTTTGCATCTCAGCTTGAGGAGGATTCCTGCAGCTCAGAGGGCTGCAGGCTGGAATAAAGTGAGAAGTTTTACTAACAATATGACCTTTAACACACAAGGAGCAAAAACAGAAACGAGTTTCTATGAAGCCCTGCA